CGTTGATGTAGCAGCGGTGTCCGTTGGTAGAAAAAAGACAAACCTCATTGCACATAAAAAACCAAGAATACAGAGCAGAAGTCAACCGATATCAGCGGCAAAACACACAGCGACTCCTAGAACGAAAGGAGGACGAAGACAAAAATCAAAACCTACTGTTCCTAAAACGAAGAAAAGAGCAGTTAGAAGAGCATTAGCTCGACAATAAGAACTTGTAACTGTAACAGCAAATGTAAAAAATGTTTGTTAGTAATACATAAGTGATGTCGGTTCTGCTCAATTCATTATTCGTCATGTCGATAAGATCGCGAACTATTTATTTTATAAAATACATCTTCGTGGTAATCACGAATATCAGCTTTCTTTCCAGGCTTTAAACGAGTTTAACCAATCAGTTGTTCGACGGTCTGGGCGGTCTAACTCTACCGGGTCTATAGAGGGTTAGAGTAAATTACAAAATATTTATATTTCTTTCAAAGGTCTCTGTCGATTAAAAGGGGCGTTCATTAGTCACTCAGGCTCTGGTCAGAGAGCGCCGGATCCGACGTCGGAAGACACAGCAAGACGTCATATTCCGACAAAATCCTTCCCGATCCGTGGTGCACTGCATCAGATTCCTGTTGCACGAATTCCGATCGAAAATTCTATGCAAAGCATCCGACAGTACAAGTGAACAAAACCCTCAGACAACTTAATCTCGGATGTAACCAAATATATAGCTATAATAAAAATTAAGTTGCGTGAGAGCATTGTTCACTTTCACTGCTCCAGACAGTGATTCGGCTCAGCGAGCCAATATTTGGTTAGAAGCAAGATTAAGATTAACCAACAACTTGTTCGAGGCTCTGGGCGGTCTAACTCTCTAGGGTCTATAGAGGGTTAGAGTTAAGCACAAACTATTTATATTTTTTTGAAAGGTCACTTTCCATTAAAAAAGGCGCTCATTACTATTATTATTCACTTTCAATGCTTCAGGTAGTGGTTCCGCTGCTCCAGCAAACATTTGATTATACTCAAGATTAAGTCCCCTGAGAGTTTTGGGCACTTTAAATGATTCAGCGAGTGCTCGGGCTGCTCGAGCAGATATTTGGTTAGAAGAAAGATTAAGGTGCGTGAAATTTTAGTTCACTTTCAATGCTTCATGCAGTGCTTCCGCTTCTTGAGGAGATATTTGCTTAGAAGAAAAATTGAGACGAGTTAGGGTTTTATTCACTTTTAATGCTTTAGGCGGTGCTTCGGCTCCTAGATCAGATTTGGTTCGAAGTAAGATTAAGGGGCGTCGTAGTTTTATTCAGTTTCAATGCGTCAGGCAGTGCTTCGACTCCTCCAGCATATATTTGGTTGTATCCACGCTTAAGTTGCGTGAGAGTTTTGTTCTCTTTCAATGCTTCAGCGAATGCTTCGGCTCCTCGAGCAGATATTTGGTTAGAAGAAAGATTAAGTTGCGCTACAGTTTTATTCGCTTTCAATGCTTCGGGCAGCGCTTTTGCTACTCAGCAGATATTTCTTTGTATCGACGACTAAGGTGAGTGAGAGTCGTGTTCACTTTCAGTGCTTCGGCTCCTTGAGCAGATATTTGTTTAGAAGAACGGTTAGGATGCGTGAGAGTCGTGTTCACGTTCAATGCTTTAGGCAGTGCTTCGGCTTCTCGAACAGATATTTCCTTGGAAGAAAGATTAAGGTGCGTCTAAGTTTTATTTACTTCCAATCCTCCAGCCAGTGCTTCGATTTGTATCCACGATCAAGTTGCGCGAGCGTTTTGTTCACTTTCAATGCTTCGGCGAGTTCTTCGGCTTCTCGAACAGATATTGGGTTAGAAGAAAGATGAAGTTGCGTGAGAGTTTTGTTCACTTTCAATCCTTGAGCCAGTGCTTTGGCTCCTTGAGCAGCTATTTGGTTGTATCCAGAATTTAGTTCCCTGACACTTTTGTTCACTTTGAATGCTTCAGCGAGTGCACTGACTCCCATAGCAGATATTTGGTTAAAGGAAAGTTTAAGTTGCATGAGAGTTTTGTTCACTTTCAATGCTTCAGCCAGTGCTTCGCCTCCTCGGTCAGATATTTGGTTATGTTCAAGGTTTAGTTGCGTTAGCGTGGGATTTTCTTTCAACTAGTTTGCGAGTATGATAGCGATTCACACACTCGAACTTGCCAGAATCCCGCCGCGATCCGGTCGCACTCTTGAAACACAAATCGAATGGGATTTCATAAGAAACTTGATCAGGAACGCGATTACAATTATAGCATCGCGATTTTATTTTGTCAAGATCAGCATTTTTTCGTTACACGGGAAAAAACCGAGTTCCCGGTCAGATCTCAGCAAGAATGAAACGGGAATTCCACTAGGGTTAGGACATCAAACATGGGTTGTGGTCCTCAACGTTTGGTGGTTCGAATGACATAGAAATATTGCCTTCATATCTTAACAAAATAACCAGATAGGTTTATAAAATGACTAAAGAGCAGTTGAAACGTACCAATTCGGGTCCAAACATAATAATCATGTTATATTTGAACAAAATCAAGAGTAAGTTTCTTGGCTGAGTTTCACATGCTGCGTTTCGAACATTTTAAAGAATGGGAAACAAGGTCATGAAGTCACTTTGAAGAAAAATTAACAATTAAGAAGGCTTACAAAATAAGAAGGACGACGTTTCATTTATTCTACGTAGGAGATTAAACCTGCGCCATGAGGATCGTTTTTCCAACCGTTCCCACACATGGGAAAATTCATGCGTGCATAGGTCACTTTTACGCTTTTCAGTCTATGGATCCACGTGGGAACCCATGTCAAGGCAAGCATGGATATGCTTCTCGAATTCCATTAAGTGCGCTCCCATGAATGTTAATGCGTGACATCCAATTTCCATGCATGCAAACGCCTGGAAACTAAATGCACAGCCTAAATAACATCGGAGACCACGCGTTGGAATTCGATGAGCATATTGATCCGTGTCTTGGCATGGGTTCCCGTGTGGATGCATGCATTGACAAGGTACTTCCATTAGAGATCTGCGAGACCAAACCTTTTTGATCCCGGTCCAATGAATCAAAAATCTTTCTGGCAGAGTTCTCTCCTCTTGGTTTAATAAGGCTGTTTAATCAGTTATTACAGCAGTTAACTATGCTCGTGACCATGGATGTCATCTCTCTCTCTCCGCTATTCTCGGCATATTGCAATCTCCTGATCAGAAATCTATCTAAGTCAATAAATTTGGTTGAGAAGCACATGATCGACTTACCATCCAGTGCTTGCTTGAAACGTTTATGATTGCTACAAGTGTTCAACAATCGGTGCGATAAGCCGTGCTGCATGTCTCTGTAGGATATCGGATCGACGTTCGTACTAATTTCGCTACCAGCTGAAAAGCTGAGTATTTAGAAGCATGATGTTTTTGTCAACATTATTTCAGATGTTTCGATAATGAACCATCGCTTCTTTATATATTAGTGGAAGTTTTTCTCCTCTGTTTTTATTACTCAATACAGATGAAACTCATGCTTGAATTGCGGCAGAAGGGTCGTGTGTTACTTTTAACGTATAAAGGTAAAAATGTGACTAATGCCTTCAGCAGTAAGATAATCATATAGTTACATTCAAGGCAACGAAACGCATTGAGACTGTTGTTAAACACGGAACTATCCTGACACCTAGTCAAGACATGTATACCAACAGAAATGGAGAGATAAGCTTTTTCAGAAAATTGTCGTATATGCATTGTTTCTCTGGCCACTGTAGTGACTACCATAGTCTTGAACAGACGATTTCTAATCCGTTGCTTATTTATTTAATTATGTTACATTCGCTTAAATCAAATAGATGAATTATCAAAAGAACTCGGGCAGAAATCATCAGATTTCCCTCACTTCAAGAATATTGTAGAATGAAAGCACCTTGCTAGTGAATAACTACTTTGATGTTTTTATGTTGAGATCTTTTCCCTTCTGATAATGAAAGATATATGAAATGTTCGATCTTACAGTGCTCTCATACAGAAATTTATTACTCGTAGCATTATCATTAGTTGTTCTTGGCTTGTGCGTTAAAACCACTGCTTCTTCCATTGGATGCTGTCCAGGCTTTTTTTCGAAAAAAATTAAGTTTTTTCGAAAATGATGGTACATTCGTCCGTATGACACTGTTCTTTGTCAATCAATTTTAAACATGTTCTTCTTTCCCGAGTCTCAGAGTAACGTTTTATAGCAAGTTTTGTAGAGAAATGTTTTCTCTATAAGATGGCATAAAGCAATTCTCTAGTCTTATGAAACCTGACTGAGAAAATAAAAATTTTTTTGTAAAAATTTGATTTTGACTTGAAAACTCTCTTAAGCGCTTAGAGACACACTTTTCCATTAGTCATGTGAAAAGAGAATTCTACTCCAATGTAGATAGTTTCCAGAAAAACGAGCAAATTTTAAAGAAAATTATTTGCTAATCATTAGCCTACCTACCTATAAAAACGAAACTTTTTCGAATCAATATTCATATTCAGAATACTATGATCATTCTGACAAAAATGCTCTTGAAAAAATTTTTTCCAATTAAATCAAACGCGTTACATTTAAAATGATAATGACTCGATAATAATGATATTTATTGTCAATATTTGCATTGAACAATGTTATTTTTCTATCTCTTGTACATTATATATTTTCACACTTCAATGTAAAGTTTTGGATAGAAGACGGATGTTTCAATAAAATCCATGTGTCAATGTTTTTCTCTAATTATCATTAAAAATAGAATATTTCGTCATCTTTATCAATATAATAAGCATGTACATGTTCGAAAAAAATTCAAATCACAAATTGTAGTAGAAAAAAGTTGAAATTCTCAAGGCGATCATACAGATTGTCAACATTTTTCTTTTCTCTTCTGTTTTGTTCGTATAGTTACACGGTTCACGTAATAGAAAAAGTAGAGTCCATACTAATATTTTTGGTTAGTTTACAGAAACAAATACGATCCATCCAAATCATACCCAATTCTTCATTTTGCAAATAAATTTTCAATAAAAAAGTTATACATAAATAGCAAAAGTTTCAAACTGTTTGTTAAACAGATGTTCCGACGGTGAAAAACCACACTAGAACCGAAATTATCCTTGATTAGAAAAAAATGAGCATGGAAAAAATTTAAATAATGATGATGAGAATATTTTATTCGAAAAAATTTTTAATTTTTGTAATACTGATCTTAAAAATTCAATACCATGTAAAAAAATTTTTTTGAAAACAAAAATAACACATCAAATGTAAGCTCAATAGTTATACTATTTGCATCAACTGAACACATTTAATATTCAAGAATATTAGCTCTAAACTTAATTAATCAACAAAATCCATTCATCATAGAAGCATAATTCCGTCGTTTTGAATATGTCGCCAATTCAAATGCGGAAGGTTTTGGTAACTAATAATTCCAATTTTCTAGAAATTTTATTCAACATACAATACTTATAGTTGTCTTGATCCACGAGCCAAAATATTCATGAAGCTTTACTTTAGATCTAACTAACAAAACGTTTTTTTTTGCTACTTGAACTATTACGTACATACTCATAGAATAATTTGAACATGATGAAAACTATTTGAAATATAGCCATTTTTCGTCGTTATTTGACATAAGTTATGTATCACGATGTACACTCGCGTATGGGAATAAAAAAGGAAATCATTTCTCTCCCTCTCTCTCTCTCTTGACGGTATACCAAAAGTTGACCAAAAGAGAACAAAAATTTCGTTGGTCTCACTGAACATATCCGACTGTGTTCAATATCAACATACAACAATAACAATGAGCTTGCCTTTTTCTCCTACAGAGCATGTGTGTATGTTTTTCCTTCTTCAAGGCGTTCATATGAAGGAAAGAAAATGAACGAAAACATTTTCTCTCTCGAAGGTCAGCTTTATATATACACTAGACAAAGAGAAAGAGAGAGAGAGAGAGAAAGAGAACGAGAGAAAATGGTCAGTTTGATGGGCGGCCGCTGTTTTTGTACATTTCGATTGAACAATTGCGTTCGAAGGTCGTTCAAAGTGAGGCCGCCTGTACCACACCGCTCTTATGTTCTGTACTCCTCCTACTTTTCTAGTATCAAAGTCATTCTTCTTTTAATAATCAATATTAAAATAAAGACTGATAACACGCGTGCGAAATTATTTTATTACTTCTCTCATCTCTCTCTCTATATATATATGATGATTCAATTTTCGTAAGTTTCAAGCGTTTTGTTGTTTTCTCACTTTTGACTAAGCCATTGTTTTTCTGATCTATTAATCAAATAATAGAACTAATCCGTATATCTTAGCAGAGAGCTATTGCTTACTAATTCTCGATTCAACTAACATAATGTATTAATAACTTGATTTTTCAGTGTTTTAGCAGAATAATGAACATAATACTGTTTGATCAACTTTCCACTATATATTTTTGATAAGAACATGTTTCGTTTTTTTTTGAATGATTATTTATGATAAAAAGAATATCAACATTTTTCAAATACTTGTGAACTATAGACAATCTAATGAACACAAATTTGATGTTCATATCTCATCAGTAAACTGAATCTATGAAATTAGTTGTATTGTTTTGATGAGCCTAATGTATCCTTAAATGTATCATTTCTGGACGAGTAGAGTAGAAAGAATTTTTGCAGAACAAATCGCTAATTTTGAGTTAACAGTGCAAATAAATGTCATGGATAACCTTTCTAAAAATTTAATTTAAAAAATCTGTTATATTTATAAAAATATTAGTTATACATAGATATTTTTTTTATCTAATGACTATGTGAACACTTGCCGAATTATATTATTCAAAGTTTATTTCTATTCATTTATTTTTACTTTCTGAGATTGTGTCAGTATGAGACCGAACAATTTCCCATTTGATTTCTTTAAAGGTGATAGTGATTCGTTGTTTCAAGTGCTCAATAACATTCTACTACTGTTTTTTTGTTTTTATCGTGTTATTATTGTAAAAGTATGTTCTGTTTGTACGATTTATAGATATATATATATATATATACATGTTCAATATATAGTCACACGTTCAACAAGTCTTCTCGTTGTATGTAGAGTGTCATTTCTTTTGTTCGCTTCGTTTAGTTTCGATTATGAGATGTTGTTTTCTCTTTCTTTTTTCTATTCTGTTCTGTATGTTGAAATTGATTTTGGGAGTTCGTTCATCATTTCGTTAAATATTATTGACCTTCAATACCTATATATTGGCTCGTTCAACAACTAGTCATCACCTCTATTCATCATATGCATGCATATCTCTCTCTCTCTCTCTCTCTCTCTCTCTCTAAATATATATATACAATCTAAATATAATAAAATGCATAATAGACGAAACAACAAGATTTACGGTTTAGTTGAACAATAAAAGATTAGACACTTTTCCAACTATAAAAGGAGAGAGGATGAACAACATAAAAAAGAGCGCGAACGATTAGAAAGTTGATTTGCATGAATATAGTTTATTCTCTTCGATTATATAAGACATACCAGATATAAGATTGTTCAAGATATATAATGGTATTTGTTAAATTTTATCTCTTTTATATCTCAAGGGGCTGAATTTACCGAAGTTTTGAGAAAAGTGTCTAAAATTTATGAAATTGAGCTAAACACATGTTGTATTCATTTTATCAAATGTATCAGTACTTATTCTCCGAACATGTACCAAGTTGCATTTTGATGTAGAAAAAACATTTCTTAAAAAATAGGAAAAAAAATCTTGGTTAAGTCTATTTTTGCGCAAGAAAATGTGATTAAGACTGAAACACCAAATGTCATACGTCTTAATTAAACATAGAAATGTTAAAATTTTAATTATGAGGACAAATTATTCTCTAATATAAAAAATTATATTTTTATGTAAAATCATAGATTAGCGCTTACCTTACTTAACCTAAGAAATTTATCCTATAATTTTATTTTCATTTTAGATCTTTAATCATGATACTTATTATTGACTTGTCCAGTTATTAAAATTGTTACATCTTTCCATTATGCCAACAAATATAATCATAGATATGGTAAGTATATTTTTTAAAATAAAAAATAAAAAAATAAACCTATTGTTCCTTTCTTTCTTTATTATTTTCCGAAGAATAATTTATTTCAACCAACTATAAAAAAGCTTTTCTTCTATTCTCCGCTAATAGTAGAGGAAGATCGTCTTTTTTTCTTCTTTTCTTCTGTCTCTTGTTACACAAAAAAACAGAAAGAATATCTAAATAGTCTTTTTTTTTCTAAGCGTAAGCGGTATGTCTTTGTTGTTCATTTTGAAAATATTTTCAACTACCTTTGTTTTTTAGCCGAGTTCAAAAACGATTGATTTATCTATAAAAACAAACAACAATATTAACGAGAATAAAAAAAATCTTATTACACCATTATCACCAATTAATAAACGAAAAATATCATCAACTACACCAGTAAAAAATATTGATAATAATAAAACATTGACACCTGAAAAATTGTCGCCAAGTGTAATTGTACAAACGACGAACGAAAGGCGAATGTCAGCTGCTACGACAACTTCGTCACGAACAACAATTACTCCTACGCCATCATCTAGTCGGCAAACTCCTTCACCAAAATCATCACACGATGAAGGAGATAGCGATGAAGTCAAAGTATTTGATTGTGAAAAACATGAAGAAGATATTGATGTAGATGGAGATGGTGGAAGTGATCGATTGTCACCGGTTATCAAAGAAGAAGAAGTAAGACTCTTATTTTTATCGTCATACTTTTACATCAACTATATAGAGAATCATTCTAACATTAAGCTTTTCTATATGAAAATAAGGTGTCATTAAGTTGTATTTTCGTTTTTGCTCATGAATATCTAAATATTTTAAACTGCTAAATAAACTTTTATGAAAATAACACTTACTTATAGTTAGCAAAAGTCAAAAATTTGATATAAACTGTAATCTTTCAAAACGGAATTCACTATTTCTAGTTTTAATTTGACTAATATTATTTTTGATCTCAACTAATTTAAGTTTGTACTTCATATTAGACATCTGTGACAGATTTTCGCTAACTTATCTTTATAATATTTTCGGATAGCCATCCAACATTTTGAATAAAAAGTTTAGCTCAATACTGGAAAAACAAAAATAATCTTATTATTGATATTCTTCGTAGTCTATCATTAATTGCATAATACTTATACTGTTTACACGTTTTAGTAAATTATTTGTATTCCGTTTACTTTCATTAGTTCGAATCTATTGTGCGACTCTTGATTGTAAATTACCAACTGACTGTTTAGAAGGTTTTTTTATTTTTTGAAAAAGCAACATCGAAAATTTGTTCCCTTTTTTTGGAAAAATAGAGTAGCAAATTTCTTTGCATTTTTAATGATACCCTGGTACGAACACAACATGAATATATTTCCATGTATTCTCATCTTATATGTATATACATGCTTTGTCTGTCAGAATATGTTATACTCTGACATTTTCCACTACTTTTAGTAGTCTATTTTAAAACAGTAACCATTTCTGTACATTGTAAACTATTTTACAAGTATTCAAAATACTTTTTTCAATCGATGATAGAATTAAATTTGAGAATGGAAGACAAACGCTCGCTATTCAGTAAAATTTGAACATATTTCTTGAACTTAAAACGTGACTAACGATAGGAGTTTAAAAGAAAATATAAAAAAAACAAATATTTTTTTAGAAATCTTGAGATGTCTAAAATCTCATATTGAAATTTTGAGATATGAAGTAAAATCTAGACACTACACTTATACGTTTTCTATCAAAAAAAGATATATGGACAATTTTCTAGTCTGTTCTCCTCCCTTTTCAATGAAAAAAAAACCAAATTCTACCCATTTGATGAATATAAGGAAATCCATTACTTCATAATTGTACATAAATTAAATATTTTGTTTAATTCCCATCGTTAAAAATTTTCGAGATGAAGAAAATAAGATACGTTTGATATAAAGAATATAATCTTTATAATTATAATATCGATTTAATCTCAATTTTCTGATCTACACTACTGTGATAATCGTTGTGTTGCGCAGAAAGAGAGAGAGAGAGAAAGAATTTAAAAAGTCAAAACATATTTGTTACAGAGATCGTGTTATGACTTATTCTATTATCTCAAAAGTTTTTATTTTAAAATCCAATTCTATGAATTTTTTTACAATTTCTCATTAGAGAGAAAGAGATAAATAGAGTTTTTGAAAGATAAAATATAGATAATATAAAATGTTTGAAAATATTTTTTTTTGTTTTTTAGACATCACCATCTCAACAATTTAATCAAACAAATTTAGCCGGTAAATATATTATTAGAATATATTTTTCTTATTTTATTATACGTTCATTTTCTTAAATTTTAGATCGTTTGAACAGTGATCATCAATTTCATTTATTTCCATATTTAATGTCTCCATATTATAATGGGAGTCTCTATAATGGAACACCACCATTTGTAAGTTTTGTTTTGTTTACATGTCCAATAATAAGGTTGAGAAGAGAATGAAGTGTGAAGAGAGAGAGAGAGAGAAAAAAAAAGAAAGAAAAGAAACTAATTTTTTTTTTTTTTTTTTTTTTGACTTGTCATAATCAAGACATATTAATGTGATTGATCGATTTATAGATGAGAATGTGTAAGAACAGGAAGAGGAAAGCATAATTTTAAATTAAAATAAATTTAAAATTGGAAAAAAGGTGGTGTAGAAATGGCAGTTAAAGTCGTTCTGTTAATTAATAATATCTTAAATCTGATACATAGTCTAACATGTTGTGAATAAAAGAGTCAGTCACGGCTTATTTCATTGTTATTATAAATAGAGTCTAAAATTTAGATTTGAATAGTTAGAGTTTGTCGATGTGCTAGTCAAAAAACAACAACTTTGTCTTGTTTTTTATACATCAGTGATTAGATACAACAATGACATAGGATGATTTTAAATGTAGTTTGTATGTGTCAATTATTGGTTCATCTTCTAGTTAATATAAAAATGCATCAGAATCTCGATTTAACATCGAATAAAAAGAAAATAGAGGTGTGAAACTGAGAAAAATAATGATCATTAAACATCTACCGAGTAGAGAGAACATTCTCATAGTTTCACATACGATTGTTTTGTGTGTATATAGAGATGAGAGTGAGAGAAAGAAAACACATTTATGCGTGTAATTATGAATTATAGATATTAAAATCTGTATGGTCATATAGAAGGAAAAAAATTAAAATCTATGGAGATATTTTTTTGTTTTTCTTTTGTTCGGACATCTCTAATTGCTATAAACAGATAAAATGTGCGAATTTTTGATGAAAAGATATCCAACACTCTTATGCTGAATGCCTATTATGAAATGAAAATGAAATGAATAGGATGAGATTGTTGCATGTGAGTGTCGATTATCACAATGATGTTCATCAATAATACTTTTTTTTTGTTTTGTTTTGTTTCTATACAGTTAAATAATTTTTTTCTATGTTTTTAAAATTTTAACGACTAAGCAGATGTTTCAAAAATTATTTTTGGTTCGATCGTAGAAATAAGACATTGATCGATTTTGAAACGTGAAACAATGTGCGTGTTTTGATAAATAAATGAATTGAACAGATGGATAGTGAATAAATAATAATAATAATAATAAAAAATTAAAGAGTTAATTTTGAATCTTAAACTAGATGCTGTTAATAATTAATAGGCAACTTAGGAAACATTTTACAGTTCGGCCATCAAGAAACGTAAGAGAAAAGTTTCGGGTAGTTTTAGTCGGTTCGATGAGCTGCATCGAATAACAGTGTCTGTTTGACAAAAGAAATTTTCGAATTTCTCTCTAGAGAATTTTTTAACCCTTTGAGATCTATCCAGGGTTCCCGAACAGGGGAGAGGGGCAGCTTAGGATGGGAGGAGCTAAAAGTTTTGCTTCGAAAAAAAGTTTTCGAAATCTTTGGCAGAAAGTTACTGGTAGAAAAACGTCAAAGATTTTGCCAGAAAAGTCAAAAAAAAATTTCAGAAAGGCCTGGCCCCCTCCTGATCGGGAATCCTGGGGCTCTGCAGACATTTTTCTGGCCAGGACTTCAGTCAATTTTTTTACGAATTCGTAAAAGTCAGGGCAAATTGAGGTGAGAACTATGCGAATCGATGCGAAGAGATAATTCTTAATTTAGGAAAATTTCAAAGATTGAAAAATTCTTTTTTATCAAGCAGACACTCCTATTTGATGTAGTTCACCAAACTGATCAAAACTACCCGAAAGTGTTCATTTAAATCTCTTGGTGGTTGAACAACAGATACAAATTTCCTTGTTGCACGTCGCCTCTTCGTCTATTCGAGTCTTTAACTCTTTGACTGTGGGTTGTTTTTTTTTGAAAAACTTAAAATTTCTGTTTTGCTGTATATTTGATCATAAATCAATGTGTATTGACAGTTTATTAAAATATTTTATAAATACGTGTGTTTATATGACGCATATTTGCGTCACATTAGCAGTCAGAAGGTTAAAATATTTATTTTAAAAGTGAACTGTATCAGAAAAATTAACCAAATGATAAAAAGTTTTGGAAAATTTATTGTCTCAAGTCACAATGTACGATAGATGATAAAATAATAAAAATAATATTGTATCACTATGAGATAAGATGAGAAATTTAAATAGAAACACAATTTCAGATGATATTTGATCAAATTGAAAAATAAAAACTAGCCTCAATTTTTATTATTATTGGCAGAAGACTACTCGAACATTTTTTTTTTAATTTTACTTTAAATACTTTAAATGTTTATTTAACTACTTGATAAATGTATGGAGCAAGTGGACGCCTTCGGTGAAATATATCCAAACTTTTAAAAGTAAATTACTCTTGACCCAAACATTTTTTGAAAAAAGAAAAAAAAAACCACACGAACTCTCATTACGATATTATTGTTCAAAAATCACTTCACATTGATTGAAGAACTATGTTTTTAATTATAATATTCCCTCTTTCTGTTCTATGATGAAAATCATTTTACCATTCTCTATGTAGTTAAATAGAGAAAGAAAAACAGGAACATCTCAAACGATGTGTATTGATTATACACGCTAATTTGTCATTGTAACAAGACAACTGAACATACAGACTATGTTTTATATATCTTTTTCTATATATATCGACGGATATACCTACAGATAAACGTGTACTAATTAACCTGATATCAAGACGGATAACTTCTATAATATGATCAATTTTGACCCTACTATAGCAATAGACCATGTTTCAACACACAATAAATAATAGACTGGCTTGAACACAACGAACTTAACAAAAAAAAAAGTGAATGACTACAGAGTTCTATAGGAAACAAATTGCCAACTTTGTTATATCTTCTAGAATGTCAAAAAAAAAAGTAACAATACTTTAGGATTTTCTTTTTAGCCTATTTTGACATAATTTCAATGAAATACGTTTATGTTAGCTTTAATTTTAATGAAAAACGTAAATTTTATACGGAAAATTAATGTAACTGAATGTTGTTGCTTTATGTGCACTAGGTATTAAATTGAGTGAATATTTTTAATGATGAAAAATATACGCACGCATACATTTTTAAAAATAATTAATTGAGTGTGTACATTTAGAAATACGGGAAATAATTTGGTTTTCGAAATTTATGGTTTATCAACATATTTTTTCATTTTCTCAAACTCTTCCTGCTCGAAATGAATTACAATATAAAACTTATGCTATTGTCAAAACAACTTTCAGAATAACAAATAATTTGTGTTCGTTTAATTTAAGGCCCACCCCCCACTCAAAAAAAGGTTATTTTAGTGAAATTTATCGTTTTTTTTTAAATAGCGCATTTGATAGAGCATCACGTCCGCTATCGAATGCACTATAGTTTCTTAATTTTACGATAGGTTTTAAGGGTTTCACACAGATTTTTCTGAAAACCTCTACCGGAAAAGATGACATTTTTTCGTTATTTTGCGTTTTTCTCAAAATGAGATATTTTGGTTTTACGTTTTCGTGCGTCCCAGATTTCACCGCCATTTTGAAAGCTAGAAAGCTCGGGTTTGTTTTAAATCATAGCTAAAGTCTGACACTACAACTTAACAGAGCCTGATTCTTCGATGTCAGAATTGACGTCAGATGAAGAGAAAATGTTTGAGATCCTACACTCCAGTAATTTCATATCGTGACGTAAAAGTTCTATAAAAAATGAACTACAGAGAAATTAAAAAATCAGCCTCTGTTAAGTTGTAGCCCTACATCTTAGCTACATTTTAAAACCAACCCGGGTTCTCTAACGTTAAAAATGGCAGAGAAATCTGGGACGGACGAAGGCCCATTTTTCGACCTTAATTGTGAGCTAGCTCTTGATAGGTTTAATATTTCGAGCTGAAATTTTTACTGTGAGGTCATCATACCTAGATACACCATCTCTGAAAGTTTCATTAAGATCGGATGCTCGTAAGCAGAAATGGATTTTTGGGTGGGGGGATGGGCCTTAAGAAAAAAATGAGTAAACTCGTTCGATGTTAGTGATGAATTCTACGTCAAAACTTAAATATGAAAAATAATCATTTCGCATTGAAATATCACTTTGTTCACAACTGAAAGTACCATTGACTTTACAGTGTTAACTCTAGCTCTAGATGATTACTTTATTTTTACAAGTTACTATTAGAAATAAAATAAGATTTATCTTCAAATTAAAAGAAAATCATTATGATGAAATTGAAACAAAATATTGAGTAAATACTTTTTTCTACGATTGATTGTTAAAACAAGTATTTTGTTAAAGAGAAAAATAATACATTAAAATCAACATATTATTAGTCAAAATATAACTAGTGACTTATTCTTCATATGAAATAATGAATTATCCATTTTTGTTCTCTTTTGTTTTTTTTTAGGACAAAATTCCGACACTACCAGCTGGACTTGGTAATCCATTATCTAAATTTATGTCACCACCACCCGCTCATATGGGAATGGGATTACATGTTGATCCATCTACAGGTGAGAGAACAAGAGAGAGAGATTTGATTATATTTAATGTCATATAATTAAGGTGGAGATTTTGCTGAAAATAATAAAGAAGAAAAGAAGAAATAAACTAAATCTACTTTTTTTTCTTCTAATTTATCATTATAAATTGTTTAATAATGAGGTATGAAAAAAGAGTCGGAAAAATAGGTGAAGAGAGTTGTTTCAAGTATGTGTGTGTATGTGTGCGATGAAAAGTCATTTCAAGTAAATCTTTTTGAGAGAAGAAATAACTATACAGGCGGGAGAACGGGATAATATAAATGAGAGTTTCAATTATACAAAGAAACACGGAAATACATTTAGTACTTAATAAATAAATCTTTTCGACTAAGGATGTATTATTAAATCTCAATGATTTAAACTTCTACAATTATTATTTATTGCAAAATATTGTTTTTTTGATATAGAAGAGAGAGAGAGAGAGAAAGAAACGAGAAGAAGAAAAAAATGAGGAAACAAATGGAAAAATAACTTTTCTTTTTAATAACAGTTACATTTCTTAAGTTTTAAATAGTCTTCTGAACTGACACTTAAACACCAAACAAATAAATAGAAGAGTCAAATATAGAGAATAGGTTTTTGAATTGGATCATTGTATAGGATTTAAAATGCGTGTATGTGAAAGTAATTGTTATCTGTTTCTTGTTCGTCATTTCATTCAGAATACAATAGGATTTTTGTTTTGTTATTCCCTCATTGCATTTCATTCAAATTGTTTATTCATGCGCACAATATGGTGATTTAACTAACTGGAAAATGATCTTGTTAACATGAGAATTGAAGAAGAATAGAATAAGAAGAGTGATCATAGTTCTATTTCAAGAGAGACAAAATCAACGCCCTTGTTTTATTTCATTAAGTGCTCACAGATTATTGCATTATGTCGAATGACGACAGACAGAGAGTGAGAGAGAGAGAGAAAGAAAGAAAAAAAGAAGAAGAAAGAGAATTGAATATGAACAAATATACTACTAAAGTATTTCATTAAATATTTATTTCTCTCACACATGCAATAATGAATGGGGTAAATAAACAAAAGAAAAAAGAGACTTTACAACTTATCAATACTTAGTATACTATATCCTGTCTATCATGGTAAAAACAACAACAATAAACAAATAAACAAAAAATGAAACAATTACGAAAATGTTTACAACGATGGAAGAATATTTTTAGTCAAAGATATACAATTAAAAATGTGAATATGCCCATCTTTCAAACGAAGTGAATGCAATAGTAAAGAATGAAAGGCATATCAAAAAGGATAAAATTAGATAATTAGTAAAGAAAAGCGGTTTACATTGAAAATTTAATGTAGAGCAATGATGAGATAAAAAGATCAAACGTTATACTATATAATTTAGTAAAAGATTATTAATACACAACCGATGGATCTTCATTTGATATTCTCTGATTATGTGTAGGAAAGAGCCAGATCATGTGTAGATATTAATTAACCTTATCTACTATTATCTAAGACAATTTTAGTCACAAATTGAATAAGAAACTAGGCAGGTCTCAAGAATTATTCAATAGAATATCGTTGATAAACACATGTTTTCCTTAGAATACGATACTAAATTTCACTCATATTCTCGTGAGTGGGGATCGGAAGGTTAGGAGGTGGATGTCAAAAAACATTTTCGTTCATTGTACCGCTACTTTTTTATTCATAAAATCAAAAACTTTAGTTATTTCCGATATTTGAAAAATACATGAGTTTTAGAAAAAGCTTTCAATGATAAAAAACAGAAAGTTTCCGTTATTAGAAAAATATCGCCTGGTTTTAAGAACCAGAGTTGTAGAATCTGCCTGTTTGGTCCGACGATCATCGGGGGAAAAGTTATTGATTCGGAAAATTTTTTTGAAAAATTGCAATTTTATTATTTTGTAGGAAGAAATTATGCCGGAGAATTTTTTAAAAACGTTTTCCGTCGGGGGAAACTTTGTAATCTCACGGGTAGATTCTTCACCTCTGCTAAGAAGTTTGGAAATTTTTGCAAGAATCACTGATCTATGTGTGGCACTATTATCATGTACTATTTGTAATCTCTTTTAGGTGTTCCAAATCCAATGTATCCAATTCCATCTCCGTCTCCATTCCAATCACTCTACTCGTCTGGATTAGCACAACAATGGTCGGTAGACTCTTTTTATTTCACAATTATATTTTATTTTTCTTAAATCAATATGTTTAGGCGTCAAACAATGTTTCCCTTTGGTTTTCCACCCGGATATCCTTTAGCACAATTTAGTCCAACAATTCTTTCACAATCATCTCTCGGCTCATTATCGCCATTGTCTCTGTCTCCTTCATCATCAGCAGCTGGAACACATCATCGAATGGACAGTTCGGGAAGGTAAATAAATATTTTTCTACAATGAAAATATTAATATAATATCTGTTATATTTTTGTTTTTATTAAAAGATTCTCTAGTATGTTAGAACAGAAACTACTTGATGAAAAACCCAAGAAACCTCATATTAAAAAACCGTTGAACGCTTTTATGTTATTTATGAAAGAACAGCGAGCCAAAGTAGTATCGGAATGTACGTTAAGAGAAAGTGCAGCGATTAATCAAATATTAGGAAGAAAGGTAAAGATAATTATAATTAAAATTATTATTTCAGAATATTATATAGATTTTTCTCATTTAGTGGCATGAATTAGATCGAGCTGTTCAACAAAAGTATTATGATATGGCACGAGATGAACGTTTGAGACATATGCAATTGTATCCAGGATGGAGTGCAAGAGACAACTATGGTGTCAGAAAAAAACGTGGTGGAAAAGGAAAAAAACGAGAGAAAGTGCATGGAGAAAATGGTGGTAAGTGAAATATAGTATAAAATTTTCAAATTATCTATTTTAAATGAATTGAATTAATCTGTTAATAATAGTGTAATTTGCTTTTTTAAAACTTAACTCAGATATCGTCATTAATCGTTTTCGAATGCAGTAATAAATCGTAAGAAATAGCTATCGATCTAACTGCACTTCTGCACACTTTTTCATTTGCATCTGGCCTCACTGAAATTATTGTAATTATTTTGAAAAACGTTTTTCCTACTGCGACAAATATTTGTGCACATTCTCCAGTATACTAAAGACTAAAATGACGTTGCTCAGAAAATGGGTAACTGTTTATTTAAATTTACCAATATATCAGTCAACTCGTCTATTCGCTGGATCATTCAACAATTCAAGTTGATTGTCAATACAGTTAAGAAATAAAACAACTTTACCGTTCCTTAACTTAAAGAAAAAGGCTTTTATTTGTTTAAATACGGATAACAATCTAGCTGCCGTTAATCTATAAAAGTAATTATCTCACTTGTAATGTAATAAGAGATACAGCACATAATGTGTATACTTATCTCAATACAACGTTCTTCTCTCAGTATAGACGGTTGTTTCAGAAAGTCTTTTAACACATTTAACATTTGCTCATTGACCTACACGGTTTGGCCATGTAACTCCGCTAGTGCAGTGTGATTTTGTCCTGGATTTTGTTTCTGCCGGGGATAGAGATCTGCACGGGCAAGATTTTTTTGCCCGTGCCCGTAATCTACTGAGGATGCCCATCTGTGAATTTTTTGTATATGAGTAGCCCGTATATGAAAAAAATTTTCTCGTCCAAGCGTGTATATTATGTTATCCTTTCTGTGGCATGTCTCTAACTGTCTATACTTCATTCACAAAAAATTCAAATCTTCGTACCATTTTACTGCTCAAAAACTTTAAAATGTCTTTTTGAGAAGCCCGTGTCTGTCGAAAGGAAGCAGTTGCGCGTCCATGCCTGTCCGTGCCCGTCCATGCCCACGGGCGGTACGGGCACGCCTGTGGCCATGGAAATTCCCGTACCCGTCGAGATCTCTACTTTCAGAGCTTCGAAACACCTTATATTGAAGAGAAAAATGTGTTTAACATTTTGAGATATACCTACATTCTACACGTTCTTTTGTTTAGGAAATATTGGAAAAGTACAGACTACTACTTTTCGGATACGTTTTGAAAAGTAGTAGTCTATACTTTTGCAATATTTCCTAAACAAAAGAACGTGTAGAATGTAGGTATATCTCAAAATTTTAAACGTACTTTTCTCTTCAATATAAGATGTTGTTAAGAGCTCTGGAAATATTTTGGTTCGAAAACCGTAAGAGAAAGAAAACCAGGGACGGAATCATACTGCGCTAGCAGAGTTACATGGCCAATTTTTCGCTACTAAGAAGAAATGAAATGGACGTTAAAAAATGCTTAAAAAAAGCAGAATCGAGTTGTCATTTTTTTTTTATCGGATTTAGAATGTGTTAATCAGAAAAAATGTCGAGCCCGTTTTGGTTTGGATCAACAAGGACAATGGTGTAAACATTGCAAGTACGTATCTATAAAAACCACAAAAGTTTTCATTATTATTAATTTTTCTTGCTATGTTTAGACGAAAAAAGAAGTGTATTCGTTTTACTGAAGAAGGCGGTGATGCGCCGAGTTCAGTGAATGGTGGCAACGATACAACATCAAACGA